GGTATATATTTATATTACTATCATATTATTGTATCATTTCAAACATAGTTTTCGACAGCAAAAATGTATATAAGAATAGTTAAAACATAAGTTTAAAATTTGATATTTTTTCATAACATACAAACATGTAAAGTGTATACATTTTGAGACAATTTTTTATATACACATACATGTGTGTATGTGTTGTGGTTATGTCGACACCAAATATAAATAAAGTATGAGCGAAAACTTTTTTTTTTTTAAACGTATGGGGAGTCAGATATGATTTATAAATAAAAGTTACGTTAAACACATCCCACACCCGATCTGGTGATGAATAGTGTTTGTGTCGCAAACATATTGAAAGTCATATATAGAGTCCCAATATATGAATGACGCCTTTGACACAAAACCTAATGTCTAATATATATTAAGTTTATATCATTTAAGAGGTTTTTATAGTATAACGCAAATATACTGTATTACATATATTACATATATTAGGACACTTGCGCTACCAGTAAGGCATAAAGGCCACCGTTACAGCTCTTGAAAAATGATACATTTTTTTACACATAATGTATTTATTATGTATACTATTTTATTAATTAAAGTTTTTTTTGTACACTGTATGTAACTTCAATAGATTTCATTCATTTTTTATTTGGTGAGAAATTTAGTCATTATGTATAAAAAATTACTTATATCTAATTATGCCAATCATAAATTTTATAATTAATTTTGTGTATATATATATATATATAAATCAAATTATATTTATTACTGACATAACTGTTTATTGCTAGTTATTCATAACGTAATGTGTTTTTGCTAAATTTATTTTCAAATATATATATATTTGTATTCAAATGAGATGAGACAACAAATAAAAAATCAAGTCTTTTTAAGACATAATCTTTTTTTCCAAAAGAGAGACTGTTTTTATGTAGATTTTATATATAATGTCATTTATGTTATATATATATATTTTTTTGTGACTTAATCCATGATTTTATTCACAAATAATTCATATGTGTTTTGAATGCAATTTTATGCACAAGAATTCAAGATTTGTCAATTTAAACTAAAAAAGGCATTTATTTGCATCAAAAAATATATGTAAAAATATATATTTTTAGGCCAATAAAAGATTTATACTTTTCTTTCTGATGGTATTTAAAATATTTTTAAACAAATATTTATAATTATTTTGTTTTATGATATTATTCATCTATAAAATAAAATGAGTTTTGATTTTAATCACATTTTAATTTAGTAGATTATAAATATAATTTTTCTCTTTTTGTTAATAATTTTTAATTTATTTGAATTAATTTTGCTTTTAATTTAAAAGTTATTTATTTAATTCAGAATCTTATGTATATCGACCTGAAAATGCTAAAAAGATTAATTATTATTTTATTTTTTAAACATTAATAAAAATATTTATTTAGTGAAAACACTAACACCCAAAATATAAATATATGACTTATATTTTTAATGGTCACAAAAAAAGTCTTGAGTTTTTGCCAAATATTGATTATCTAAATAGTATAATAAAATTAATTAACAGATATCTTATTAAAACTCACGAAAAATATAATAACTAATAAAAGTATATATATTTATGTGTTTATAATTTAGCTGCAAAAGTATTTTACTTACTTTTTAAACATTTAATAATTTAATAAACTAATTATCATAAATAATATCAAATTAATAGATTTATTAATTTGATTTAAATAGTGATAGAAACTAAATATTAAAATTTTAAAGACTGTTAAAATGATTTGTAAATAATATAARTATAATTTGGTTGTAAATATAACTATTAAAGATATCGGTTATATTTATACTGTAATCACATATATAGCAGTAAATGATTAGTAATTGATAATTATTAGTATCATATATAATATACTAGTCAATACTCTATCAATATATACTTTATGATATAATTATGTAATGTAAGCTTATTTGCATTAATTGTATTGTAATAATTTCTTTAGCAATTTGATGTTTTGTATCATTGGTTAGTTATATAATTAATTTCTATTTATACTACAAATATATACATATTTACTGTTTTTACTGTGATAATATAATCAAAAAATATCAAGTATTTATTATATTTATTTACTAATTCATTCAATGATATTATAACTTATCTAACATTAATGTTTCTAGTGGTGCAATGTTTATTGATTTTCACATTTTATGATAACTATGCACTAAATATTATATATAATTATAATTAATAAGTTATCAAAATTAATTACGAATAATTAAAATGTTTTATATCCTAATGTAAACAGATTTTTATACTATAGATAATATTTGGTAAAAATGTTAAAATATTTTAGAAAAATTTGTTTGTTTTATGTGATAAACATTTTGTTGTTTATGCAAATTAAAGATGTTTTATGTATTTTAATGTGATTTATAGCCTAATGTAATAAATCATGTGTGACTCTAAAGCGACATTTATTATGAAATTTTTATGTAAAAAAGTGAAATTTGTTGTAAAACGTGAAGATTTATACAAAATTAATCCCAATTATTAATTGCTTAGTTATCTAATATCATTTGATTTATGGATATTTTATGCAATTGATAGTTACATTTTCTCAATCTGCTGATTAAAATATATTGATACATATATTTCTAGCATTAATATATTCAATGAAAACTTATTTTAAAATATTATACATATTTATTGTAGAAAAAAAGTGATTTTATTTACTTTAAATCCAATATAAACTAATATATCATTTGATGTGATCTAAATGTTTACTGATTTCTTAACCTAAATCTCAACCCAATCTGTCGTATAATTCATTGTTGAAGTCATTTCCCTCACGACTGTCACTCAAATTTATTTAACTCAGTCATCAATCAAATACTGAATAAATAAAAAACACATTAATATTTGAGTTTTTAAATTTTATAGAAATAAAATAATTTAAAAAAATTTTCTAAATATGTTTTTTAATTTATATTAAATTAATTTGTAAATATTATATTTCAATTTATTTATAAATATATTGTTAAATATACAATGTTATGTTATTAATTGTAATAATAATAATTTTAAAAATATAAATTTATCTATATTTTTAATTTTAGTTGTTTGTTTAAGTAATTATTTGTATATTATTATTTTATTATTATTAGACACGATTTTATTAGTTTAAAGCAATAATATTTATAATATGAAAAAATTGAGTATACAAATTTTTATATTTGTATTAATGGTTTCATGGAGTTTATTAATATTTATACTGAATATACATTTTTATATAAATTTTGATATAATATAAAGAATTATTGCTATAATATTATTATCAATGTTTGAGTGAAAGTAATGCAATGTTAGAGAGAGAGAGAGAGAAAAGTAAAAAAGAGGAAAATAATATTTTATTTAAATTTATTCAAAGAAGAACATAAATCTTATGCTTAAAAATTGATAATATTATTTGTAATGCTATTTCATTTGCTATTAAAATAGGCGATCCGTTATATAACTGGTAGTAATACAATATACTGTAAACATATTATACATACTATAAGACAAAATGTATTAAAGAGATATTAATGTTATAGCTATTAATGTTATGTTTCTTATAGCTCTCTCGTTATTATTTACGATACAAATATACGCTTTTTTATACAGTATATATTTATAAAATACTATACTATATGTGTTTTTGTATTATAAGTTAATAAAGTTTTATAAAAAATACAGAAACACAGAAAAAGATTTATTATATTTTGTTAAGAAATTTATTTCATTTATATAACACAGTTCATAGTGAAAACAATTTGTTTTGTTTTGAAATAATATAAATTGAATGTAACGATAATAAAACATTATTGACAATAAATAAATAAAACAAAACTGAAATAATAATTTTTTTGATGTCACTTTTGTTTGAATAAATCATGAATTTATAGTATAATAGACTTTTAAAGACTATGAAACAAAATTTCATAATTAAATTATATTCTAGTATTTTATTGATTTATGGCACATGGGTTAATCTTATGGTAATAGATTTAATAGCATTATAATAATGGTTACAATGAATATACTGTCAAATAAAAACAAAACGTTTAAAAAAGATATTTTATAAGCCATAATCACAGTACAGATTATGTTTTATTGAATGATTATCTGAAACGACTAAACAATTGATGTCAAAACCTGAAGCAAAAACAAAGTAAAAAGTGATTTCTCTCTCAATGTCTCTCATGTTGTTTGACATCCAGAATATTCTCACAGGAGTTCATTGTTTTTACACTGTTTTCAAGTGAACTGAAAATCTGTTTTTTTGTGAAACAATTGTGTTATTCCTTGAAGTGAATACACAAAAAAACTTTAGAGTAGTAACACATGTATTAACAATATATTATTTTTGTAGTGAATTTATTACACATTTGATAATATAATTTGTAATCTCTTCCTCCCATTTGCACTATAAGAAAGTGTCTATACGTTGGGAATGACCTAATTTGTTGTACATGTATACAGTATCACACAATTAAAGCACTTTTTTGTTTAACCCATGAAACGTATCATAACTTTGTAATTACTGATTTCAATCGATGACATAAGTAATGTTTTTTTTAAGATTTTTTTATAATGATTTTTCAAACATTTTAAGCTATTAGGAGAGAAAAATTTTGATTTATATTGTGTCATATAATATAGTTTGTCGATAAAAATTTGACAATTGATTAATTTTATAGATTTAGATCCATAGGTCTTAATCTATTTTCAAAGAGTTTGCCATTACTTCTTTGAGAGCGAAACTTATTTTTTCTAACAATTTGTTATTTTGTTGTTTTATAGATATTTTTGTGTAAAACATAGACAACGATTGAGATAAAGAAAACATATAATACTTAAAACTGTTGTTTCCGTTCAATTGATTACCACTTGAAGACATCAATTGTTTGCTTTTGGATGAAATAAGAAGTTTTGCCAAAAATAGGAGAGATTTTTGTCTTAAAAGACAAGACACTGAAACCAGTCGTTTGCCAATAAAATTAAGATTAAATTGTCTACTCTTTCGTTCAGTTAAAGCAACACAAGTGAGTAGACGTTTATAATAATTAATAATTACAGTAAAATGATTATCAAATATTTTTTGTTGTCTGTATAATAACTGTAACTTTTTATTTGAAACAAACAAACAAATCCTCTATAATAAAACCAATGATATAATAGTATTGAAAATAAAATTTTATTAACAAAAAGCATAGAGACTTTAGAGATATACAACTAGTTTTGTAGCATTCAATTAAACACTAATTATTATTTGGACAAAATTTTGTGCTTATTTTGCACTAAAAGTTTTTGCCGTCCTTTTAATAAAACAAATTGTGTACAAAAGCCGAGTGAGTGCTGTATTTCAATGAGTGCTATGAGTTTTGTGTCTAAATTAGTGTTGAAATGCAATGATATGATAGTGTGTTTGAGCTAAAGGATAGCGAAAACTAGTTATAAAACATCAAAGGATTTAATTAATCCAAACGTCGGCTCAAAAGCCATAGCTTTTGTGTTCACTGAGAGAGAAATGCAGTGAAGTATTGAGTTATCTTTGATATTAATAGCGATCTCTCTCTCAGTGGTTGTAATGTCTCTCACTATTTGATGTCTAATCTTACTGTCAGTCCGTCTAATTCAATGGGAATTAACTGAACTAAAGGCACAAAAAATTGGATGAAAGTCAGCAAAAATATCATTTTCCCCAATAATTTTGTAATAAAACCAAACCGTTTATCTAATTTTGCCAACATTTTCAAAAACGTGACATTAGTTTTATACTATATCATAAAATACAAAATTTATTTGTAAATATTTTTTGAATATACAACAAAATTTTACAAAAATTACATCCAATTTATATTTCTATTTCTCGATATATATAAAAATGTCTAATAAATACTAAACAATGTGTTTGTTTTGAAATAAAACTCATAAATTGTAAGTCACACACAATATTTTGATGTTTATTTTTCGTGTATAACTTTGTTTTTTTAAATAAAATACTRTATCTTTAAAGTATTAAATTATAGAATCACTTCCGATATTAGTATTTATTATATATAATTTTTAGACTTTAATTTTGTAATTTATATTATTTTATTTGATTATTATTATTATTATTATTATAGTAAAAACATATTGAAATTTAAAATATACAACAAATGTTATAAAAATTACAGATTTATTATTGTTTTCATTTATCTAATATTTGACATTTATATTCGAAAATTTCTAAATTTATTTTTTTAGTATTTAATTATGAGTATAATAATACTTTATTTATATTAAGAAAAATAGTGAAAACAATAAATTTAATAATGATATCAATAATAATGAGATTTTTTTAGCTGACATTAATAGCAAATATTTATTTCTAACATTCTTATAAATGGTATCTAAGATATAGTGATCTAACCGTAACAACACATTAAACAAAACACAGAACCGGGAGATGAGATGCTTTAGACCTTTATATATAACATTATTTTTTGATAACATTTATATCTCTTATACTAATGATTTTAGTTTATAATTACCAAATTATTTACTAAAATTCAAATTTTCCAATTATATTAATCTTTTTTATATTTTTCAATATATATTATTTCATATTGATATTGGATATTAAATGATACAAAGATGTCAGTTTAAGCTAATTTTATTAATGATTTTAATATAAGATTCTATATAATAGTTGGACACAAATATTTTCAAAACATAAAGTAACAATACATTATAAATATAAGATTTACTTATATGGTGTGAATTTAGGAGAGAAAGAGAGTGAGTGAGTGAATGAGTGAGTGAGTGAGTGAGTGAGTGAGTGAGTGAGTGAGTGAGTGAGAGTGAGTGAGTGAGAGAGAGAGAGAGAGTGAGAGAGAGAGAGAGAGAGAGAGAGAGAGAGAGAGAGAGAGAGAGAGAGAGAGAGGGTTACGCATCACTAGTCAGTCATATAATAATAAGTCATATGAGTTGTGTTGCGGTTGTGTTGTATCTCTCATCTCATGTCATGAATTGTGTTCCGATTCAATGGTTCACTGCATTCACAACCACTGGACATAACTCGACATAAAACCATATAAAACACAACTGATATTCAATGAGTGTCATTGTCTTTCAATAACAGTTTCACTAACACAGGAATTGTTGTGAAAAAACACAAAAAAATAAAGAGATCAACAAAAATGAGACAAAATATAAAATAAGGATCTTTTCTAAGATATGATTGACTTTAATAGAATTTAAAGACAGAAAGTCTATTTGTTTTATAATGTATTTCTAGTATTTTTCAACTAATAATTGCTTAAAATGTTTTACCACTTGTGATATTTTTATTCAATTAATTTTTATATGTATTGTACTATCAGTTACATAGAAATAAAAATTAGATATTTTTGTTACTGTTGTTAACATCAAATTAAATATTTATAAATATGTATACAGTATATTGTGTATTACTTTTTATTGTAATAAAATATAATATTAATTTTCTTATTTATTGATTAATAACATTGTCTTTTAATAATATAATTTAGTATAATATTGTTAGCAAAAGATAAATTAATTTTCTGTAATAATCATTCAGTTTTTATTAATCATAATAAAAATCTATATTTAATTTTATCCAAATATATTAAATAGATACTGTATAAATAAAAACAAATATTATTACAAAATTTATTTACTTATTAATTTATATGATATAATTTGACTGTGWGTTTAATGGTTAAATTTTATTGTAAGTGTAAATTTTGAGAAGTACACAAATAATTATTTAAAGTGTTTATATTTAATATTTATAGTGATTTAATTTTTTTTCATTAAAATGTGAAAACAATTTTGAAACAATATATAATACACAATATAAATCTCTGACACATACATTGCATTTAAATTTAAATCCTCTGAAAAGTGTTGTTGAAGTAAATTTTTTGGTAGTATTAAGTGTACTCAATGGGCATCGCCTCCCAATGCCTTTCATAACATTTTTACTATGACTATAGAAAAGTAATCAATGAAACAATTTTGAGTGTTTTTACATTTAAAAAATCCCAAACAATATAATGTTAATCGTCATCCATTGCAATGGACTAGTAATGTATGTCTCAAACCATGTCAGTAGTGTTGTAATGGTTTGTGTATGTCTTTTCAACACAAAAATATATTGTTATACTTTTTTAGACTTAAAAATGTGTATTAGATTTTTTTTGTGYCATAAAAAAGTGTTGAAAATTTTTCTCCAGAGTATAGTTTTAAAAGTTGTGTTTAGAGTGAGTTCTCATTTTATATTTTGTCGTATAAACGAAAGTATAAAAACTAAATACTTTTTATTACAAACAATCTTTTTTTTGTAGAATAATAACAACAACACAAAGTTTTTATATATCTTATACGACACTATAAAAATTTATGAAATTTTTTTTAATAATTTTTATTAATTTTTAGGAAAAAACAAAACATAGCAAAAATAGTTGACAATAATTTTATATGTAATAAATTATTATTATTATTATTCAGTCAACGAGTTATTTATTGCATTGTTTTATGTTTTTATAATAACTAATAAAAAAGTATATAAATTTATTCAGAGAGAGAGAGAGAGAGAGAGAGAGAGAGAGAGAGAGAGAGAGAGAGAGAGAGAGAGAGAGAGAGTTTGTAATATATCAAAAATATTAAACATTCAATAATACATATTAATATTATTTGTTAGACACAAAAATAAGTAACGAAAAAATCGACATTTGATTGAATTGAATAGAAAGTGAATGAAAACCAAAAATATATATATTATAAGTAATATGTATTTAATTTGTATATTGTTTAGTAGTATTGAACAACTCGTTTATCATATATATATATATATATGAAATGGCAATTTCTAATTATAATAATTGACAAAAAAAATAATATATGAATGGAAAACATTGATACAGAATATTCTGTTTGTGTGTGTGAATGTCATTCAGCAGTTTATCATTAATATATGGATTATTGCTATATAATAAATTTATACATTATATAATATACAATATATTAATACATTTTAGCAATATATGTATTAGAGAGTATTATAGCAGAGCAATCAGTATAATTAAAAATGGCAAACAACTGATTAATATCGGTTTCATCAGTTGATGTTTAGTTCAATCACCAATATGTGAGCAAAATTTATATATTTATATATAGTATATAACTGCAGTAATTATATCAATATCTAAAAATAGAAGATCAATGATATTAGTATCAATATGTATTATAAAAATTTATTTTGACTAATTAGTAATGTTAATTTATGTTTTATCTTGATTTGCTGTTAATGATACAAAAATTAGATTCAATATTACTATGTATTTTGACATTGATATACAATTTTTTTAAATGCATTGATATTAAACAACAAAAAAAACTAGCTTAACATTTATAAATTACATATTTAAAAAAAACTGCTAATAAAATATTTGAGTATTGTATATAACATTTGGTTTTTTATAGCAATTATATGTGAAATACATTTTGTAATATCTCATAGTGTTTTATAACAATATGCTTACTATAATAATAATAACACAAAGATAAAGGCAAACGTCAATCACAGCACATAATATAATGTCATTATATATATAGTATATATAAATCATATATAGTAGACATTCCACGAGTGGTTTGTCACTTGTTTTTGTGTGCACTCATCGGTACAGTTGTCTCACAGACTGAACTTATATATACTATATATGTCTTGTATTATATCATATCATTCATGGATATTGTAGTTATATTATTATTATTTTTTTTATACTCAATTTTATGATAATGGTAGTCTCATACAAATAAATATTATCTATGTTATTGTATATTATAATTTGAAAACTTTTCATAGGTTTTTAGACATTTTTAGTCATTTATTCAAGTATAATATTGTATACATATTGCAATTGTTTAAAATAAAGTTTATGTGTCAATTTGAGATAAACAGTATTTTTTACAATTTGTCTATTATGGTAAACATATTTGCTATAATAATAATAATAATAATATTGCATTT